GTGATGCACTAAAGCAGCTTGTTAAGCATGCCATCTGGGGGAGCCTGGTGGTTCAGCTCCCGACTATAGAAGGGGCAACCTGGGGAAGTGCACAGATTCCTGGACTGGCATCAGAAGACTTGGCTGCCTGGCCCTCCCACTCTCTGACGCATTTCCTGACTCTGGGTGGCCAGGGTGGAAGCTCAAGCTCCTGGTGGCAGGCATGGGGTTGGGGAATCTGAGTGTTTATCCTGTCACCAGGTAACCCTTGTCCCAACTCATCTCCACCCCACCCCAGGAAAAGCACCCTAAACAACGTTTTCTCAAGAATGGCTAGCTCATAGCTTCCAGTCTCTTCATTTATTTTCCGGTTGATTTGAGATGCCCACTGCAGCACAGACTAAACCTGCATCTCTGAATGGTTCTGATCTGGTTCCTGCTTTCACTCTTCCCCTCAAAGGAGATGTTCCCTAAATGACTCCTGAGAAAAAGAAACCTCCTCCATATAAATCTCCCTCTCCTATCTGTTTCTAAGACTCTGTTCTCATAGAGGCTTTTGGTTGCTGTAAGAGGTCCAGCTAATACAGGTGTGCATACCAGGTATGTATATCTGCCAGGAAAACCACTAGGAGATCCAAAGCTTCAGGGTCTTTGTCCTTGATGATTGGGGCCCCTGACAGAGGTGGGGCACTGTCCACCCCCAACTCCTTCCTGGACTTGCAGTTAACAAATGGCATCCTCCCCAGCAGCCGGGTGGGCTGTGTCTGAGCTCGTGTCAGTGGCAGATGAACACACACATCATCTAGCCTAGCCCTACCCATTGCCTCTGGCTGACTGGATGGTGACCTCAGAAAATCGTTTTCCAGGCATATAGATCAATGGAACAGAATTGAGATTCCAGAAGCAAAACCTCAATTCCTCAACCAACTCATCTTCGACAAAGCCCCCACCACCTACCAATGGGGAGAGGAGAACCTATTCAGTAAATGGTGCTGGGAAAACTGGCTGACCACATGCAGAAGATTGAAACAGGACCCCTATCTATCCCCATGCACAA